ATTTCCATTATACTTTGAGCTAAACCAATTTAATCCTTTAGGCAATCTTAAAAATATTAGATGGAAGATCCAAAAAAAATTCATTGCTATGTTTTTAGAACAAAAGGAACACCATGAATTATATACTTCTTTACATTAATGAGGGTAGCAATCCATTTATGATCTTGACGGCATTTTCAATGTAATGGAGGTTTCTTAAGGTATAGGTTGATAAGCAATTTTCTCTAGATGCGTTATATTTTGGCGACCCATTTCATATGATGCCTAGGTTACTAATGGCATCTCTTATCCCACTTTATTACAGTTGATCTGGATTTTTTTTTTTTGGTTTACAATCCCCAATATTTTGCAATAATATTCCACAGCCGAATTATGATCTTTTTACGCTTACATTTGTTTGAACTTCGAAGTTTTACATAAAGCAAGATGTTACAGGTTGGGCATTTCTCCTCTTGATCTTTTAGTTTCACCTTATAATTTTCCTCCCGGTAGACAGCTTTATTACGCAAAGAAAATCAAGCATTTTAAGCCCAAACGAAGCGCTCATTTTCGTTTGAATGAACGTTATACAGAACCGAAAATATTCACAGTATGTAATACCGAATATCGAATCTCACAACTGAAGGCACCCTCGATTATTCAGCCGAAATATGAAAAAACGTGAAACAATCGAGTAAAATAAAACGAGTATAGTCCGTGGTCATAATTATAAAAACAATATCTTTGTGCATTTTGCGTGCTATTGTATTAATAGAGCAATCCTTCGGAGAGAGATTTTTCTTACAATCAATATTTCGCATAGTGAGTTTTGGTATGTGTATGCTAAGAGGATTGATTAACGAAATGAGGAATAAGTAATCTAATAAGAAAGATATATGTATAGTTTCTTCATTAATATTATAAAACTCTAATAATTACAAAATTCTTATATTATTTTAATTATATATACTGCATATACAGTATAATGTCCTATTGATTACAATGCTATTCAATTTTGTTTGTACCATACATTAAATATAATTTATATAATTTGTAAATAAATGATATTGATTAAAATAATCTGTTTGAAATAATATTTTTACTTTAATGATTTTCTTTCTAATTAAAGTCAATATTAAACATATTAAAAATTACTCGTTAAAAAGAATGATATTTGTAAATTTTTACATTAAGTAATAAATTTTTGTATTTTAAAAGTTTTAAATTTTTTTAATAAAGTAATTTCTATATCCAAATTAAAATTTGATATTTTTATTCTTTTATATATATAATTTAAATTTAAACTAATAATCTTCAATTAATATAATATAACTTAATTTGTATAAATTTATAACAAATTAACAAAATATTAAGTAAATTTATTCATCGCACACGCCTCTAGGCAAAATTATATAATGCCGGCCAAAATTAAAACATGTGACATTTAATGCAATATGTAAAAAATAGATTTTTTACTACTAAAAAATTTCTAGTTCTCAGAATATATATGAAAAATGAAAAGGGAAGAGGTGTGATACAGGTGACAAAAGGCAGATGATGAATAAATTATTTCTTTTATATTTTATCAATTATAAATATTCTTATATTTATTATAATTTTTAAATGTTAAAAATATTTTATATATTAATAATAATATTAATTTTATACAATTTTATAAATTAATATAGATTGTATCTTTTTATATATTTTATTGATTATTTTAATATAATAGAGTATAAGTTTTATAAAATATAATTTCTATTTAAAAAATATTTTTTTTTAATATCAAAAAATTTAATTAATATTTATATATTTTTTCAAAATAATCTTTATTTAATTACATATAAATTAAAAAATTTTATTAAATAATTATATATAACCTATTAAATAAATATAATATAATATGTTATACTATTATATAATTTTATAATTAACCTATAACTTTATAACTTGTTAATTATAGTTTTATAATTTTATAATTTTAATATAAAAAGGCTACTCAAATCAATCCTTTGTTTAACATAACCCCTCTCATATTAGATAAATAAAGAATAGTTAAACATCTTATATTTTATTAATTTGATTGATTCAATTTGATTACTTGATTTATCATTAAATCATAAAATTAGCCATTAAATCAGCTATATTATACCATTAAATAAGTTATATTATACCATTAAATAAGTTATATTTTACCATTAGATTGATCGTAATTTTTTATTAGTATATAAATGGTTTATTTTCTTAATATTATACTAAAATTCTATTATATAATAGGTTTCTTTATTGTGTATATATTCAAAAAAGTAAAAATAATTATTTTAGATAAGGTTATAAAGATGTTATTTATAGACTATTATCAGTTTCATAATATTTTAATATAACAACAAATATCAGTTTAAAAGTTTGAGAAATATTCAGATATTTTTAAAAAGCCTTCAGAAAATGGGGGTTTATGTAAAAGAAGAATTGCAAAGTAATATATCTATGTTATTTAAACTTAACTTTATATATATTAAGTTTGTTTAGAAAGTAACAAAACTTACAGTTTAAGAAATACTAAATGCATTTAATTTTGTTATAAATACTTTATAATGTATTTGTCTTTTAAAATAAAAAAAAGATACTCACAAGAAATTATTTTATTAAATTATTTTAAAGTAAAATAATTAGATGAAAAAATAGAATATAAAATACTTTAAAAAAGAGTTTTATTGAATATCTAATTGCAATACTATGATATATAAACACACATTATACTAAATTTACAGAATAAATACTTTTACTTGAAGAATTATTTAATAAATTAAATCAATATTAAAAGATCAAATTTACAATTTTTATTATTTTACTGAAAAGCATACTAAATATAATCTTATGTAGAATAAGCTTAAAAAACTAGTTTCTTTGTTAGAATTATCAATAGCATAACTATAAGCAGCTAGTAAAATATGAGAAAATATTGTTAAAAAAATTTTTGTCTTAATATTTTTAATGCAAAAATATGCAAAAAACTTGAAGCAAATTAACAAATCTATGAAAACAAATATATTTAAATAATATATTAAAATATTAACCAACTAATAATTTAAAAGTATATACAATTGATTCTTGTTAAAAAATTAATACATAAAATTAATAACTTCAATATTATTTAATTAATATAACTAATTATTTTAAAATTAATTTAAAAAGCTTTTTATCTAAAAATATAATACAACAATACTATTAGTTGCATATAACTTTATAATATAATTATATTATGAAGTCACATGCAAATTAGTCTAGATTATGAAGGTAACTTCATAGTTTACTAATAGCTTCATAATATAATAGTAACTTCATAGTTTACCAGTAACTTCATAATATAATGATGACTTCATAATATAACAGTGATATTATAATCTAATTCATGATCTAGTAACAACTTCATAACCTACTATTCATACTCTAATAATAACTTCATAACCTACATATAGGTAACTCCTTTATGTTTATAGTATTGTTTCATCTGTTTCCTGTATAATATAGTAGTAATTTCATAGTCTAATGATGACTGGTAATGTTTTAATTTAATAGTAATATTATGAACTAATAGTAACTGCTTTCTTCTTGTTCCTAATCCATTTACATAATAAAATCTATATTGTTAATTCTGGCTTTTCAGTCTTCTTTAAATATCTAGTTCTATAATGAGAGTGTCAGTTCTCTATGCTAGTTTGGATACTAGTTCTTTATTAAGATTTTGCATCTATTTGATTACCTTTCTAGATGTTAAAATAGTATAAAAAAGGTGATGGATAGCATAATAGATTTGCGATTAATTTCAGCTGATACTATACCATAATTTTGGCTAATCTTTTGAGCATATAATTTAAGAATCCAGCTCAGCGTTATGATGGTGATTTGATAGTACTATAGTAGTATTATTTTATCAAGAACCGATCCTAATGCCTTTAAAGTTTGCCTATTCTGAAGCATTTTAACTAACTTCTTTTGGTAATAATATGCTTTCAAATAGCACTTATTTATATACAAATTATAAAACCTACAGTATATTTGGCTATTTTTTTTTGAGTATTCTAGAGCAGAAATTTTACTGAACTACTTTCTAAGGCAGATTTTGTTATAAGAAAAAGTGTTCTCTTCTTGATTTAACTTGTTCTTGTATTATCTTCTCTAGATTCTCTAGATATTCTAGTAAAAATAAAGTTTTAGAAATAAAAATTGAAAATTTTTTTATATATAGGATATGTATTATATATATATATGATATATATATGATATATACTGATATGCCTATAGATAAAAATTAAAAATAAAAATTAAAGAAGTCTGATATTTTCTAGGTCGCTTAGAGCATCTAGGACAAACTGTCTAAAAAATGTTCCTTCTATTCTAAAAATGAAAATTTGCTATTTTTCTCTTGCCTCTGAAAGTCAAAAACTTTCTAAGGCAGATTTTTTTAAGGCAGATTTTTTAAAGCATTTAACTTCTTCCTATGGTAATATATTTTTGAATAATACTTATCTATATGTAAATTACATATACCATGAATTGAAATAGTTAGTTTTTCACATTATTTGTAAGGATTTTGCTAACACTTTTTTTAATGAATTTTACATTTTTCTTGTCAGTTACAAGCTCGTTTACATATATTCCCTTTGTTAAAAAGATATTGACAAATAAATTCAGCTCTCATTGAGTATCTCTTATATTTCTATATTTATTTTTTATTTAAACTTTTTTTTCAGAATAGTATATTCTGAATTTAGGATATTATATAGCTTTTAAAAATTATCTAAAAATGACACATTCTGAGCTTTTAAAGTTCCTTAATACCCCATCTGTCTTTTTTCAATCTCTGGGTGAAAAAGATAAAATGAAAGGCTAAGTAATTCATTATTTCAATGAAAAATACTTGTCAAAATCTTAACTTTAGATGATATAATTGCAAAAAATGATGAGGAATTAATTGCAATCCTTGACGATACTCTATCTAGTTGCTAAAAAATTCTATTTATAGCTATTAATAGTAAAGGATCATCAGAAAAGATAAAAAAAATGTATCACTATGTATTGCATCTTTATGGTCACCTTTTTAATGGCCAAAAAGTACTGGTAACTTTTATAGAAATTCAGGTTTTCTTTGACATTCTTGTATCAGATGGAGAGACTCCAGATGAATGTGAAGAAAAAGTAAGCAAAATTCTCTTTGGCATTATAAAATCATATAAAATAGAGCATATTAAAGCATTTCCTTTCTGTGAATATTATACAAAAAAAACATATTTACAAATTTATACAAATAGTACTAGGGAGAGAAAGGAAGCCATCCAAGCTATTCAAAAAAATAATTTTGAAACTGTTTCAGATGATTTATACTCATTTCACTAAAAAGTGACTTGAGAAAATAAAATACAACTCTTTGGTTGGTCTACATTAAACAAATATATACAGTCAACTCTTGATATAGCGAACTCTTGATATAACGAATTTTTTAAACAAATATAATAAAAATACTCTTGTTATAGCGAATTGGCCAATCAAATCTTTTAAAATCTTCACTATAGCCTTATAGCGAAGTTGAGGTCTAGGACATAGAGTTCGTTATAACAAGAGTTGACTGTACACAAGAAAGCAAGTGGATCAGTTCATTCTGTTTACATGAATTCTATGTATCTA